TTGGTTGACATTATACCTACTGCTAATTACAAGGAACTGTCCCCAAGTGTCTACCACCACTGGGTGTTTTGCCCATCTGCCCTGTGACCTTTTACCATAATGTTCCCTTTATAGACCAGGACCCCCCATGCTCTGGGAGACAATGGAAAACAGCCAAGTGGTAACAGGCAGAACTGTTGGCCTGCCCCGGTTGCCTGTGCCTCCCCTTCACACAGGGACAGAGAGGGACGATGGCCATATTCACCATGGAGACACACAGTGGCCGGAACATGGAGCCAGGGAGCCCACTGGCTGCAGTCCAAGTTTTCCTCCACTCCTGCCCCCTAGCATGAGTCTCGTCACCCCAAAAATCTGTTCCAGTGCCCTTCTTGTGGGCTGATTCTGATGCTCAGCCCTCACAGGAGGGCCCCCCATGAGGGTTTTGTGGGAGCTAGTTATTGGTTCCACACAGTAATTCCTGGGGGGGAAGCTCAATGTGGGGTACAGCTTGAGACACCTGCCCTTGCCCATTCCTCTGAGTGCTCCTCACTCCAAAAAGCCTCACTTGCAGGGGGCTGAGGAGTTGAGAGGTGTGAGAGCACAGGTGGGCCCACAGCTCCTTAGTCTGCCCAAAGTCACTGCTCTGCTCACAGATGCCCCTCGGGGTGGCCAAGCTTCACATGGAGACAGCCCCTCTCCCTGCTGTGTTTCCTGTTGGTGACACCTTCGTAGAAGGCCTGTGAGAATTCCACATGGGAAACACTGTGTATGTGTGCAGGTGTTTGTGTGTGTCTGTGTAGGAATGTGCTTGTGTGTCCATGTGGATGAGTGTGGATGTGTGTGAATGTATTCCTGCGTGTTTTTGCATGTATGTGTGTGGGGGTGGACTATGTGTGCTCTGAGGATGTATGTGTGCTGTGTATTCCCGTGCTGGGACCCTGTGTGTGTGTCTGTGTGTGGATGTGTAATTGTATACTTGTGTATGTATATCTGAAATTGTTGTGCTCTGGGTAGGTCTGCATCTTGGTGTGTGCTGTGTATTCCCGTGCAGGGCTGTGCATGAGCTCTCGAGCACTCAAGGACAGAGCAGGCCTGGCCCGAGGTGACCATCACAGCTCACTGAGACCAGGCCAGTGTTCGGAGACTCCAGGAAGCTAAGCCCGAGTCAGCACTTGCGGTTTGTGCCCATGCTATTTTTAGAGTTATAAAAACAACAAGAGGAAGCGCTAAGCGACTTAATAGCTGAGTCAGATTTAGATAAAGCGTAGGTCTGGCATGGCCCTGCTGTTATGGAAGGGCAGATCAGGGGATATAGAGGTCCTCTAGACTGCAGGGGTGCCCTGAGGCCCCACTACAGTGGCAGCAGTCCTATGGCACACCTGCCACTGTGAAGCTGACCCATGCCATCCACACCCATGCCACTGTAGACGTTTTTACCCTGACCTGTGAGCATGCTTCTGCCTCTGTCCACTGAAAGTTGCCAAACCCTGGTGGGAGATGGCTGCACTACATCTCCTACAAGCAACAGAGCCAGAAGCCGACCCTGGGCCTTCTGCCTCAGAGTCCAAGCTCTTGGTACAGCTCTGGACAGCACCCCTCCTTCTGCTCCCAGCCCCAGTCTGCAGCTGAGTGCTTTAAAGTGGAGGCTGAGTAGCTGGGTTTTTTGTTATGTTTTGTCTTGCTTAACCACTATTTTTCCATGAAGATAGAGGTTTCCTACAGAAAAATGCTAAAAACCCAACACCAGAAGACAGAGGAAAGTTCTCATAGCTATCTCACAGCATCAGCTGCACCCACACCTTCAACCACTTCCGTGCTGAAGCAGGAGCCCCGGCTTTTCATGGCTGAGGGAAATGTGGAAAACATCAGTGGCTCCATTCGAATTTGCATCTCCCTGTGGCCCTGGGCAGTGTTGGAGCTGAGCTGGGCAGCCCCCTTGGATGTGTTGCCATTTGCTATTTAGAACGTGGGTTTTGACCTTGAGTATTCTGGGAGTGGGTCTGTATGTTTCCTGTTGAAAAACACACAACATATATGTTATTGTTCAGGAAAGCTGGCCTCTCACTGGTGAAGGCATAAATCCCAAGGCACAGGAATACAAGGGCACCAAGTCACCTTGACTGTAACTCACAGCTATCGCGGTGGAACTGCAGGCCCTGGGATGACCCAGGCTGCAATTCCCCTTCTCTGATAGATGTTTGAGTTCACAGGGAGCCACTGGCTGGAGACTTACACAGCCAGGAGCCTTGCCTGATGGAAGTCCTGCCAGCGGCAGTCAACTTTGTCTGAAAACGTTGAGCACCGAACAACTGCCTTGTTCTGCTTGAGTCAGCAGCCCAAGCTGCCAGGCCTGGTCTAGGCAGCTGAGAACAGTGGGGATGGGCTCCTTGGGCCCTCGGCCATGCAGTACCTGTGTCGAGGAGCCTCCAATGCCATGCCCCATATGTCTTCCAGGCCCAGGCTGAGTGTCCCACTGTCTGGCCTTGTTTCTTACTCTAGTTACGAGGTCCTTACTTGGACTTAGCAATGAAACAGATACAGGTGGTGGTCATGTTACCACCTGTCCTCAGGAGTGCTTCAGATGGATGTGTAAGGCTCATCTGGTTCATTTCTCCAGTCCTGAGTCTTATTCAATCCTCTGGTCTCAAGATGGGCACTTCCCTCTCTTAGCCTGGACACTCCCATTTGTAAAATGGGACAAGAGTCTCTCCTTCATGGAAGTTAAATAATTCGATATCTGGGCCTGTTCTTTCAATAATCTCTCTGGCAGGAGAAAGACATGGGGTTGATGACATTGTGCCAGGATGCCAAGGTGGAAATGGTGTCAAAGACTCTCTGATGTCATTCCCCTGCATCTGGGGACAAGACCTGGACCACAGCTTTTCTGCTGCTGCAGGTCCTACTTGGCCTCTGGGACAGGGACCCTGATTAAGGCACTTGTTGTGGCAGTATCAGCCTTGGGCTGTCCCTCTTGGTCCTCCCCCTGGTTTGGGCATTGGCTCCAAGCCCTATTTGCAGCACATTCCACCACACCCATTGCTCTGCCTGTGCTTTGCCCATGACCATTCAGCCCTGATCCTAAAAGCACAAAACCACTGGCACCTTCCATGAGTGGTGCTGTTAGGAACACCTTGTTCCAGGAACTGCGTCTGTTCCCATTGGCCTCTCAGATGGGCACTCTGGAGCATGCATCTCTTCCATCTGGATGTCTATCCATTGTCTCTTGGGAGAGCAGTGAGTGTTCAGGGTCACTCCTGCCTGCCATCAGAGATGTGTCCCTGTGCACTCCTCCCACCATCCTCTATATGAGCTCTGGTGCACCCCTGTGACGATTGTTGATACACTTAGCTCAGGGGAAGACCTGGAGTTGGGACATGGTGACCGTGGAGTCAGACAGACCAGTGTGCTCTCTTAGCACCTGTGTAAGAGGAGCCAGTTCAGCTCAACAATGTGCCCTCCTCCACTGGATAGAAACACACATGGGAAAACACAAAAGTTGAGATCATGGCTCAGCATGGGTCTCTGAGATGGGAGTCCTGGCTCTGCTATTCGCCAGCTTGAGCAAGGGAGTGAACCTATTTGTGCCCCAGTTCCTCCTCCCTCTCTGCCTCTTAGGGTTGTGGTTAGGATTTAATGAGATGACATGTGACGAATGTGTAGCACTCAGCACCCAGACCTTGGTGAGTTACCCAGTGAGCATGAGTGTTGTTACAAAACTCCTAATTCCTGGCACATACTAGAGAGCTGAAATACTAGACCTCCCTCCTTTCCTTTCTAAAGTTTAGTTGGTTTGTCTCAAAACTGGGTGATAATTATGCCATATTACTGCTTGTGAAGGTTATTTGAATGAAGCACAGGCCCCCAGTTCCTGGTAGAAGAGAAACCAACTCACAGGACCTGCAGGTGCTAGCAGGTAGTTGAGAGTGATGTTATCCAGCCCAGCTGCCCCTTATCAGAGACCAATGTTTGGAGGCCAGTGAAACCCCTCACGCAAGACTCCCTGGTCATAGAACTAGAACCTTCCATTCTCATGGGGGCCCTGCCTGGGATCCACACACACCCTGGAGGAGCCCAATTATCTGAGCCCACAGGCTGGCTTTACTTCTGAGAAGGTGCCCCACTTGGATCAAGATGCTTCTTTTTTTTACTTCCACACCCATGCCACTGTAGACACTTTACCCTTCTGCTTCTGTCCTCTAAAGATGGCCAAACCCTGGTGGGAGAAGGTTGCACCACATCAATTGGGGCCAATAAGAGCAAGCAACTGACACACTTGCTGTGGGTGAGCTCTTGAGTTCATTCATCCAAGTCCTCTATCAGTGGTAGTCACTTGTTACCTGAGTCGTGGTGGCAGCTAATATCCCAGCTGCTTCCCTGTTCTGTCCATGATTCTTTGATGCAGTGGGAATTCCCTCTCATCATTCATGAGTCAGGACTCATCAGAGGTCCTTGGCAGAGGTAGAGAGGTGGGGCAGAGACCTTGATGCCATCAGCAATCCAGGCAGAGCTGGACCTCCTGACCCTGGCTCCAAGACAGGAAATGGCCCCAGTACCCTGGTGCTTGGACATGGATATTCACTAGTTCTGCTGGGACAGCAGATGGCTGGGAAAATCAATGGCTGTGTCTCTGGCATCTTCTGGGAGGCATATGTTTGAAAATACAGCTCTCATAGTTGAGCTGGGGAACTTTGCTGCTTAGGCAAAACCCAAGAGGGGGTGATGACATGGAATTCCATCTGTGCAGAGTTCTCTTCTCGCAGGGTTGCTCTAAACCTATCAACCCTTTGCTTCCATGCACAACTCTAGCCGTATCACCAAGGCCAAAGTTTATCCCATTCAAGATCACATGGCATGTGGGCATTGCTGTTGCTCAGTCTTGATCACCCCCTTCGTGGGCATCCCCAGGAACATTCTGTGGTTCCCAAGAGTGGAGGAGCATCAGCTGTGGCCTGAAGGTCTCTTAGGTGAGCCATGGACAGGGCTGATCCAGACCCCAGCTCTGAGCCTGCCTTCTCTTCCAGGGCGGCTCTGCACTCTCCCCAGCTGCAGTCATCAGCCCCGAGAGGGCTCAGCTGCAGACAGCTGCTTTGGCAAAGGAGGTTGGCTGTTCCAGCTCATCCAGCCAAGATGTGGTGTCCTGCCTCCGCCAGAAGCCTGCTAACATCCTCAATGATGCCCAAACCAAGGTAAGTCATTTGTATGTAGAAAACTACAGCCTGAAAAGGAGTTGTGACCCATCCTGGCCACATGGTTGGCTGGTAACTAGCTGGAGCTGGAATGCACATTTCCTTGCCCTCCGTGGGATACAGCCAGGTACCAAAACAGACAGGTCCTTATAACAATCAGGTTTATCATCTCTGAAATGGGAGCTATGCTGCAGGGCTCACAGAGGAGGGGCATACAGCAGTGCAGCACACCCAGAGGGCCTTGTGCTGGGCTGGAACCACAGGAGCCCTGAGTCCAGTCCCAGCACGTGTCTGGGAGCGGGAGATGTAGCTGCACAGCAGGCTGTGGTCCCTCTCACTCCTGAAAGAGCTTCGTGTCTCTTTCCAGCTACCGAGTTCTCATTCATAGTGTGCCTTTGGCTGGCCCTGACACTCATTGAGGGCATGATGTCAGGCATGGCTGTCATTATTTCTGCTGGACTCCAAGACCAGGGAGTCAGAGCAAGTCCCATGCTGAGCTCCTCCACTGTAGGCTCATCTGATGAAAACTAAAGCTAATTCACTTTTATCTATCAGGGCCACTACTTTCTCCTCTACCACTGACTCCCCTGGCCTACCTCCCTACCATCTTTCCCCACTCCTCCCTTGGGCCCAGCTGTGACCTTGGCAGGAAGGCTCCTGGGAACCTGAAGGCTAGCTGCATCTCCCAGCCCCTGGAACTGTCACAGTGCCCTGGCTGCCTCTTCCTGTTGCGTTAACTTTGCTTCTAGTAGAGCCCATGTGGATGACATCAGCATGGCTCTGGCTAGAACCTCATGTAGCAAAGCAATACACGTGGTTATTCTGCTATTTGTTATGTAAAGGATAAGATCCATGCATGTAATGACAGCCTTTCATAACCCACGCAGCTCCTGGCTGTGAGTGGCCCTTTCCACTACTGGGGTCCCATGGTCGACGGCCGCTACCTGCGTGAGACTCCAGCCAGAGCGCGGCAGAGGCTGCCATGGACCAAGGTGGATCTGCTCATCGGGAGCTCGCAGGACGATGGGCTCATCAACAGAGCCAAGGCCGTGAAGGTAGGTAGGGTGGGGCCTCAGGTGTCTGCAGCTCTGTCTGGGCCTGTGTGCCTCTGGCCAAGCATCCTTAACGTGACTGCTAGTTAGCACGACAGCTGTGGACACACTGGGAGACACTGAAGCTGCAGGAGCCTGACGTGTGTCGTGGGGTTGGGAGTTGAGACATTAGGCATCATCAGGGGAGTGGGCCGCACAGAAACATCCACAGGTAACAGCTGGGAATGAATCGTGAAGGAATGCGGGCTCCCCAGCAACCTATGGATTCTAAGTGAGAGCACTCAGGTTCTGAAAGCTTGAGAACCCCTGTTCTCATGAATAATAGGAACTCATGAAGCAGGAGAGACCCACACATAATGTGGGTCTCAGCTGTGCTGCATACAAGGCAGGGTACCCAGAATGTCTGAAAAAACCATCACCGCACCCAGACAGGACTCCATATTCTTTAGGATTATTCCACTTCCTTGGGGGAATATATCTCCTTTTTACAGCGGTAAAAGCACCCATTCTACATGCTAAGTGTAGGAGGACTTTTATCACAACATTAATTATTGTGGTAACAAGTTGGAAATGCCTCAGGTGTCCATTAACTGAAACACGGTCAACAAAGTGAAGTTGAACACACACACACACACACACACTGGTAGGCATTATGTGGACACTAAGAGTGTGCACACAACATGAGTGAGTCTCCCCTGGCTTGGGGCACACCCGTGACATGTGGTTAGATGCAGAAGAAACAACGGAGATGGAACTGAAGGCAGCTTTGCTACTTTAGAAAAACAAAGCTGTCTGTAACTGAAGCTGCGTCAGTGTGTGTATTTTATATACCTCCACATGGAAAGAGTATGGTATAGAAAGAAAGACAACAAGCAATTAACTTCAGCTACCCCAGGAGGTATGAAAAAGAATATTATGGATTAATTACTGCAACTGCTATAAATAATGCATACTTCCCTGGCCTACGCAGTTTCACAGCAGTGTGCTTTGGAATTACCCACTCTGTCTGGAATTTTGGGGCCCCTCCAGCCAGGAGCTGAATCCCTGGGACTAAGAATTCCCCATTTAACCCTGTATGATTCCCCTCTGTCACGGAGCCTCTGACCACTAAGTGTCTGAGATCTGAAGTGCTCCCAAATCTAGAATTTTCTGAGCATCGACATAATGCCACAGGAGAAACTTCCAAACCCTGACATTTTGTTTCCCTCGCAGACTTATGAAAATATTGTGTAAACTTACTTTGAGACCATATATGTTTACAGTATGTACAAGAAGTGGATGAAGCTAGCGCTTAAACTTGGGTTTCCTCCTCAAGACACTCCTTATGTGTATGCAAGGATTCCAGAATTTAAAAAAAAAAACAACACAAAATCAAACAAGAACAAAACAAAGCACTTCTGATTGCAAGCATTTTAGATGAGGAATATTCAACTCATAAAAGCACATGCGTGCAAAGAAAGGCAGGCAGGGATGCTGGGGCCGGGATAGAAGTTACACTACTTCCTGGAGCTCCCATCTGAAGGCTGGAGTAGGCCGTGGAGTGACCAAGGGTCCTCTCAGGGGTCCTGAGAGACGAAGAGAGAGAGAGTGAGAGAGAGAGAGAGAGAGAGAGCAAAGCCCAGTCACTTTTGCAGCTTCTGTCTCAGTATCTTCCCACCAAGCATCCCTGTGTGGCTCAGCCCTTCCCTGCAGGTTTGGAACCACACACCCATTCTGCTGCCCCCTCTCTCCTCCCCAGACCCAGGGTTCTTGCTCTCTGAAGCAGACATCTCCCAATTGTGACCAAAAGCCTCTTTTGTTAAGAGATTGGAAACAGGGGCTGCTTGAGTGTAAATTACACACTTGAGTATTTCTATCTTCATAGGCAGAGTTGTTATCTGCTGTCAAACCCCAAGGAACAAAAGCATAGGGAAAAAAAGGGACGTACCCATGTCATTTTCTGCCACCGTGCACACCTTACTCTGGAGATGACTGGACCCTCAGACCTTGTGGCGAAAGGTGTCCGTGGCCCTGCTGTCCCCATGGGAATGAGGGTGCTCCCTCGGGGCAAGAGGTGTCCACGGGCCCTGCTGTCCCCGTGGGAATGAGGGTGCTCCCATCTCTGAGCAGAACATGCTGCTCTCACAGCCCTACTTCCTGGACTTATCCCAGCCATCTCCGACTTTCCAAAGTGGCCAATGAAGTTGCCAAGCTCCTTAGAGTCACCTGAGGCTGGGGCACACTTGCAAAGAAAGATGGTACCGCCAACAGGAAGCTCACTGCTCAAGCCTGGCTCAGCCTGGAAAGCATGCTCTTGAGTTGGGGACACCCAACAGTGCAACCTCTCTGAGGGTGGGGCAGAGAAGCCCACCGGGCCTGTTCCACTGCTCAGCTGAGACACAGGGTACTCAGTGGCTGGATCCATCCCCAGTGCTTGACTGCAGAGGTCTGTGGGAGGAAGAAAGTACCAACAGCCAGATTGGAACTCAGGGTATCACCTTCAGCAGTACTGCATGCTGATTGTGTCTTTAAAAGATTCATTTACTTATTTGAAAGAGTGACAATGAAAGAGGGATTGGAGAATGAGAGAGAGAGAGTGAGTGAGAGAGAGAGAGAGATCTGATAGTTTGTACTCCAACTGCAAGGGGATCAGCCAGGCCAAAGCCAGGAGTCAGGAGCTCCAACCTGGTTTCCCACATGTGTCAGGCAAGCCCATCATCGGCTGCCTCCTCGGAATATTAGCAGGAACCTGGCTCAGAAGTGTGCAATAGCTGTCTCAAAGCAGGCACTCCAATATGGAACAGGGGTTTCCCAAGTGGCAGCCTGACCTTGTGTGCCACAACCCTAACCTCTGCCATCTCCTACATGCGTACTTCCAGTCCCAACTTTGCATCTTGACATTTGGTCTACCCTCTGATAGATTTGGCCTCTTCGCTGCAGTGTCACAGTGCGCCCTCAGCAATGCGGCATGCACAGCTCCCTCCAGCCCTGAGCTCCACCCCCCCACACACACTGGGAGTGCTCTCCCACAATCTTGCCCTCACCTCCCCAAACAGCGGCTTGTTCTGCATGCTGCAGGTCAACAACAAAATCTATTCTCTGCTCTCATATCCTGTTAACATTACGTCAACAAATCCAGCACTTCTGTCTTCATAACATCCGGGACCCAGCCATAGTTCCCACCTGCCTGCCATTATCCCATCGTTGACTTCTCTGGGACCTATGGGACTTGTCTGTGTCTCTCTTCCCTGCCTCTCCCCATGGTGTGAGCAGCCCCCCTTGTGATGCAGATCCCGCTGTTCTACTCATGGCACCCGTTGCTCCCTCTCCTGCAGAGCAAAAGCCGCACTCCCTGCTGTCACTTCCAGAGTCCTGTTGCTGTGGTTCCAATTGGCTCCCACACCTCAACTGCTGCTACTCCCCCAGGTCACTGCACATCTGAACACATCTTACCCTCAGGGTCTTAGTATGTGCTGTCCTCTCTTCTAGAATGTTCTTCCCCCAGTAACTCACTGGCATGATTCCATAAGAGGCTGCTTGATCATGCTGATGGATGGGGAAGGACTTGTCCCTGCAACTGTCTTCCCTGTTCCATTCTCACCTATCCTGTTCTCCATATGTGTCAGGAGACTTATACATCCTGTTGTGTGGTCTATTTTTCCATCCATTGTCTTTTCCCCTCCCTGGAATGGACATCCAAGAGCAATGAAATTGTGATGACTCAAGTGCCTTGGAAAGTGCCTGGTGTGTAACAGGTGTATAAATGTTCACTGGGCTGAACAAAGGAACCAGGAAGAACTGGGGCCCCAGCCCAGGAGACATCAATGAAATAGTCCACCCTCACAACACTCCACAAACCCAGGATGGTTATAACCATTTTTCAGATGCGAAGTCAGGTTGGGGACAGTCTAGAGCTCAAATCTAGGTCTTTCTGATCCCAAAGGCATCCTCTTTCCTTCAGAGTCTGGGGAAAGCTGGGTTTCCTTCCACGGGCCTCCTATCTGTCTACAAAAATATGCAGGGACTCAAATGTAAGTGACCCCAGCTAGCAGAAGGCTCATGTGTGTCAGGGCTTTGCACTTCATGCATGGTCTCACTGTACCCCAGCCTAGGCTGGAAGGCAGAGACATGTACCCTGAGGAAGAAAGGCTACACATGGTTCATAACTGCTCCAAGGCCAGCTCACCAGTCTTGGGCAAAACCTCAATGGTACTGCCAACCTATCGCTCCAAATGAGGATCTTTACCATGATGCCCTCTGTGCTAAACTCTAGAACAGGCATGCTAAAGGCCTACCAGACATGATAACCCGAGGGTAATCCTCAGAACCCTGCCTAACAGAGCTGCAAGAAAAAAGATGGTTAGCAGCTGCTATCTGAAAGCACCCTGGATTTCAAGCTATCCTACTCCTGGCTGCCCTCTTATTACCTCTCCTAGCTTTTGCCTGGACATGCATCACCTTCATTTAAAGGTGGTTAATGAATTTCTCATAGCACCTGGAGCCAATGAGGAAAACACCAGGATAGCCCGGGTATTTCCAAGGGTTCAATCTCAACAACTCCTCTTCCTCACCTTCTTCTGTGCCATGACATCGTCCTGCCCCTCTGTTGATCTGGGACTGAGTAGCAGGTGCAGCAGTTCCCCAGTCACCAAGACAGGATGGTAGACACATTTCCCCAATAGCCAGGTGCACTTGCTCAGTCACCCGACATCTGCAAGGCACTGAAGCTGCGCCAGATGCTGGGTGACTTGTTTGGGACATAAATGCCAGCTGCCTACCTCCCTGAAGGAGTTCATGGTCAGGCCAGCAGATAGAGTGTGGACAAGGCCAGTGGCTGAGGTCCACGTGCTGTGAGAAGAAAGTGCAGAGGCAGAAGACAGCACTGTCAGCCGGAATGACCCAGGGTGCGAGGCATGGACCACAGGACAGCGAGAGGCCCTGCTTTGTAGCTGGGTCATTTAAGTTCCCCAGCATCCATGCCTCAATTTCCCTGTCTGTGAAACCAGCAGGTCATCGCCATAAAA